GTAAGTAACGTAATAAGTAACGTAAGAACGTAACTTAGGTAAGTAAGAAGTAAGAAGTAAGAAGTAGTAGTAGAGTAGTAGAGAGAGAGAGAGAGAGAGAGAGAGAGAGAGAGAGAGAGAGAGAGAGAGAGAGAGAGAGAGAGAGAGAGAGAGAGAGAGAGAGAGAGAGAGAGAGATATGCAAACATGGGATCAGAAATTAAATAAAAACAGTATAACAGTTAAATTGAACTCAAGGCCCAACCAAGAATTACCTCAACCTTGCAGAATGACAAAAGCTCTCAGTCTTCCCACCATGAAACAGGACCCAAACCATCATCATGGATAGTGCCCTGCACAAATACTAAGTGTGTTTGCTTAAACAAACCGTACCCAAACTTCCTCCCTTCCTTTTCAAAATGAATCAAAACATGATGAAGGGCAAGAAGTAAGTTCTTACAATTATCTCCATAGGAGCGAATGGTTTTGCATTAGCTTTTTGATCAATTGGAATGGTAGGATATTCAACAGTGTGCACACGGAAACGGATCTTCATGTTTAAATCATACAGACATAGTATCAGCACTTGGGGATGACATATACAAGATTAAGTCAAATTGTTCCTTTTGCTTTCTGATATCTAGAATTCTAGATTGAATAAAAATACTAATGAGTAAAAGCTTCAAGTGAATCACACAAACCTTCTCAAAATGATAAATGTACTGCTCATTCCCATCCCAATCCCATTCCCAAGTGCCATCCTCCATACTATAAATCCTCAAAATCGAAGGAGAATGACGTGGGAAACCACAAAAAAAAGAAAGCGTCAACCAAGTGTAGAAATGTTCAAGTCAAACAAAAATATAGTATTTATAAAGTCATCTGCAAAAGAAAGAATTCTTACAATCGGGATGGTTGAGGAAAAAGATTTGCAGGTATATGAACATCTTCAAAGAACCCTAAAGACACTGCAGAGAAAAACAGAAATCAAATTGAGGATGCATTCTAGCATGGATGTGTATGTTTGTTAGTGCATATGTGCATGTGTGTGTCTGTGTGAATCACTGTACCTATTGGGTCAAATTGTTAGTATTTTTATGTACATATGCTTGTCTTGAGGGGCCTAACTAAGAATTGTAAGCATATTTCAGGAAGAGGGTATAAAAGGTTATGCCTTGTGCCTCTTGAGTCAGCATGCCAGAGGAGCAACCTTCATGTAGAGATATAAGATACTACTAATACATAATTTTCTAAATGAAAATTAGAATAAGGAAAAACAAAAAAGTACACAAAAGTACACAACGAAAAGAATGATATTCCAATTGAAAGTGAAAAATCTATAGAAATTGCTTTCCCTATTATTTGATAAAATATAATTGCAATTGAGATAGTTAGAAAACAAATATATAAAGTAGGAACTTGGAAGGAGATAGTATAAATAAAAGAGTCTATGGCAGAATAACCAAGAAGGACAGAAAAAATCCAAAAAGTACCTTGGAGGAACATTTCAGTGAAGAAGTGCAATCTATGCCAATTTCACGATAGCCTCTCCTAATTTTTTTTCCTTTCAGGGGACATCAAATTTTTGCTAAAAAGATCACCATACCCCCTCATCCCTCCCTCCCCTCTTTTCTCACTTCTTTACCTGAAAATTGACATTAACAATGTTTATTTATATCAAAGAAGAACTTTCTCTTCTCTTCCCTCTTCATAGCTCTTGCTTAACCCATTTTGCCTCTCCCATGGATCTTCTGTCTCTCTCCTCTCTCTCTTCTCTCTCTCTCATCATGGGCGAGGCACCATCACTACCTGCATTGCCTATGTAGAGAGAGAGAGAGGAGACTCTTCCCTCTTCATAGCTCTTGCTTAACCCATTTTGCCTCCCATGGATCTTCTCTCTCTCCTCTCTCTTCTCTCTCTCTCTCATCATGGGCAAGGCACCATCACCACCTGCATTGCCTATGTAGAGAGAGAGAGAGAGGAGAGAGAAGATCCACGGGTGAGTCATTATTGGGTAAAGTAACATTATAAATGTCAAATTTCAGGTAAAAAAGTGAGAAAAGCAGGTAGGGAGGGGGGGATGAGGAAGTATGATGATATTTTTGGAAAAATTTTAATGCTGCCTGAAATAAAAAAATTGGTAGGCTCTATTGTGAAAATGGAATAGAAATTGGGGGTCTGTATAAAATTTTTCCAAAAGAAAACTATAGCCCACTCTAGAACTTGTAGTAAGTCAACTCTTTGTTTTAAGAACCAACAAATCCAGCTGGAGTTGGAAGAAATCATAATAATGGGGGCACAATGTGGATTCGTAATATAAGAGACTAAGTGAAAATGAAAAATACATGATTTGAGATGCCTTATCTAAACTTAAGCCTTAAAACACAGGAGATATACGAACAATGTATTGGGCTCGAGGGGCAAAACATGGAAACTAACAAAATAAAAGTTCATAACTCCGACCTAATCCAAATAGGGAAGAAGAGTTCAAATGTATGTAACCTGTATCTATACATTAAACCCATAAAAGCCATGAATATCAAAAGGTATGGAGCAGAACACAGTGTGTACCTTGTAAGCCATCCTTGTCTAATCGTTTAACATTTCCAACAAGAATCTCTCCCATGAAAGGCCGGAACATAACAAGCCTAAATGTTACCTGCATCAGAATACCAGAGTAGAGTGAAGCAAACAAAGAATATGTACTTGACTTAAAAATCGGACCCTAAAATCTTATGTTTTTTTTTTAGTAGATCAGTGGGGAATACAGGCCCCTACCCGTTTTTAGAAATAATTAGAAGTTTTCAAATGCGTCAGTGGGAATGGAAACCTAGACCGGTAGCTAGGGTTCAAGTGGTGCTACCACCACGACCTCAACCCCATTCCCCTAAAATCTTATGTTTTGAAGTTAAAGAAGCATGCTCATATTCCAAATTTAGCAAGCAATATGAATTTCGGTTCCAACTTCCCAAAAGAACATATCCTTCAGGCAAACAAGAGAATACAACATTTCGAGTTGCAATCTAGACTTCAGTACTGCCTTTTTCCCACATATAAGCATGCTGTATTAGAGGGGTAAAAGGAATTGTAATATATCATACCATTTTCTCTTACATGCTGTATTAGAGGGGTTAAAGGAATTCTAATATATTATAGCATTTCCAAAATATTATAGCATTCCAATATATTAAACAGGTAGACAGCATGTAAGGAATAGAATATACATTAAACGAAGGTCAGCTTCCTTTTCTTTTTCTTTTTTTCCTTTTTTTTTTTTTTTTGACATGCACCTTTGTGTTCTTTCAAATTATTTCATCCATACAAGCCCAAAATTTATCTAGGAATGTATCTATAGGTTCTATTAACAAAAGTAAATCTCATCGGTGGACATTTAATTGCATTTAACACGGTACCAACATTCCTGAAAGAAAACAAGCAAAAAGCTAAACCCAGTGTGCATGGTTATCCAAGACTTAAGAGCCCCTTTGCACCTCCTATTCAAAATTAGGTTAAATTGCAATCCATCAACTGTTTCTAGAGAAGGAAATGAAAATTCTCTTCATCAAGCATGTCATCAACCCGGATACTAGGGAATACCATTTTCCCATCTTCTCACATTGGCAATGAAACTGGAATGGAAGATTTTAGAATTCCTAACACCATCCTTTAGCCGCTGCCTCTAGACAATTGGCACTGGAAAAAAAAATCTTCATGTTTAAGTGTCTCTTGATCAAGGCCTTGAGTCTCTTACACCCCACCTCTAAAATACCCATAAGATCTTCCTTGTAGTTGAGCTCAGAAATCAGTATTACGGCCTATCATATCTTGGAATTAAGGGGTCATCCAAATGAGTCTTATCTACTCAAAAAATACAACCAAACTAGTCACAGTTGGACTCTTTCAGCATGGATCTAAGCATTGGATTTCTTCCAGATTTTGTAACGAAGCAATCAGTCACAGGTTGCCAAGCTCCACTTTTCCATGGATACTGATTTTACTGGGTCTAATTTTTTTGTAGACTGGTTTTCATCTATTTTGTTTTTCTTTTGAAGCAGCTAACAACTTCCCCCAGACCTGGCGAATCAGAAATTCTGGAAACTTGTTTTTCTCCATAAGATTTCTGACATTTGTCTTTATTCAAGGGTTGCTGTGTTTGCTTCTCATTTTCTAGACAAGAAAGTAAATTTTAAGACTTCAAAACCAAATCCTGGATTCTGTATGATGCATATCCGACTCTATATAATGGGTTATAGAACTTCAAATAATCCAGGAATTCAGAATCTCTCCCGAAATAAAACTGATGAATTATCACAAGTGAACTTGTGTTTTTAAGAACATTTAGAAAGAACCCAAAATGCCGTTGGGTTGTTCAATTGAAAATAAGAACCATGTAACATTTGTTACGATTACAACCATGTAAAGTTGACACAATAAAACTAGAAGAACCAATGCACCATCTTTCCTAATGAAACCAATATAAGCATGTAATGAATTCTTACACACAAACCAATCTTCTAAATAAACAGCAATGAGGTATTTTCTCATACAGTTAACGCTCGAATTTTACGGTAAAACTTAAGATCTCTCTCTCCTACTACATCAGTTGCATGTAATTAGTCATCTTCTATGACAGAAAACCGCTTACAACTCCAAATTGCATAAATTTGGTATGCCCATACATAAACTCAGATTATCATCCCCTACAAAAATCGATCATCCAAAACAACTGACACTAAATAAAGAAATCCACACTACAATTTCACATGAAACACCAACTACATGCCCTGAAAGAAAAACCCATCCAAGCATCTATGAAACATACAGACTATACAATTTGATTCCTTTGAGATCTCTCATTGAGCTAATATACTATAGAGATTCTACGATTATGCCCAATAATAATAATAATAATAATAATAATAATAGTTGGACATAGAATAAGCATACCTTATAAGTAGGAGAACCTTCACCAGGCCAGATTAGGCCTCCTTCAATGGACCTTATATCATAGACAGAGATGCAGAGACCCAAATTGGGAATAACCTGAATTTTTTTATTTTTTTTTCAGTTTGAGGTGCATAATTCAATGCAATGAAAGAAACAGGAGAAAGCATTAAAAATCGAGGAAAGAAAAGAAGCGACCTTGTCTAGAAAGAGTTTCTCGAGCTCTCCCCTAATGGATTGTGGAAGAGGGAGAGCGACGAGCTCTGCGGGCAGGCGGAAGGTGTGCTCCAAGAGGCTTAGACAGAACATTGCGCCTGTCTCTCTCTAAAACTAGAGAGAGAGTTCCTTAACGAAGAGAGAGAGTGCAGGTTTACTAAAGAACGTAGAGCGAGAGAGAGTTCTTACGAAGAGACTCTGTTAGAGAGTGAGGGGTCGCGGTGCCCGGGCTTTTTCAAATGACATGGCGACTCGACCTCAACTCAGTAGGGTTACAAGTTTGTACAAGGATCAATTTCAAACCATTAAAATAAGAAAAAGTTTATATAAGTTAGGGGCTATAAACAATCAAATTAGAGCGCACCTAAAAAAATTGTCATTAGAAGCGGTTGTTTGGTTACCCAAATATCTCCACCTCAACATGTACGGACATGAAAAATAAATGAATTTTAAGTTTTAAAAATAGTTCATCTTGTAATGTATTTTTAGATTTATTTTCATAGATATGGTCGATCTACACTATTTTTTAAGCTTTAAATTTTATAATTAGATTTAAAAATATATATTAAAGCTATCACAAAGATTTTCAATAGTGAAACCACATTTCTCGGTACTATTTAAAGGTGCACTTTACTTTGATTGTTTTGAGCCTAGGCTCTATCCAAACCGCACCCATTAAAATGAGGTGCCCTACCAAATATTAGTAAAATATGTACTTTTGATTAGAAACTTTCTTATAGCCTGAAAATCTATTTTCAAACCAACTTGTAAAATTTAGAGCTAAAGAAAATGTAAATCAAGTAAATCAATAGATATTTAAAATTTTAAAAAATAGATGGTCCAAATATTTTAAAGATATGTTATTTTTAGAGCTAAAAATCTTTTTTTTCTTATCCATACATCTCAATATCAAAATCTATTGTAGGGTTATTCGACGTTAGAACAAGCTTTTAAGATCAATTTTTGAGATGCACTTTATTTGTATATTATAAGGCGGCCAATGCCCACATCTCTTGATTTACTTTCAAAACACCCACCAAGAAACATATAACCTTGACATGGAATAATTGCAAACGGGTAGAATATTAAATAGGTCATCTCTCATATATGTTTTGGTAAATTCCCCTTTTTCTTTAATAAATCAAAGTTTGAATATTCACTGCTTTTGTGAAAATTCAATGTGAAGAATATATTTTTACAATCCGATTTTTTGTTTTTTTTTTATAACTTCAACAAGAAATAAGTGTCTTCAAAAAAGTAGTTACCATTTTAACTCTCTTCCTAAAATAGAGTTTCCATCCTTAGTATTATATTTTCAAATAGTAATTTAACGATTATGCTAGTTTCCTATTAACATTAAATTGAGGCCCATCTCTTCTCATCGTTAAAGTTGAAAGAACTTTTTGTGACAATTTTCCCCGTAGTTTAAATACCTAATGCAATAAAACTCTCCCTGTACCATTGATGGCGCATTATTAAGCCACGGCACTCTTTAACAAAGCAATATCTTTACTAACAATAATCTTTTACATTGTAATTTTGAATCCTTAAAAATCTGGTACAATCAACAAAAGAAAATCCGATCGCCTTTTTCTTTGTTTATTCAACACTTTGATGTTTGATCTTAAAGAAAAGTCTTTGATCCACCCTCAAATAGATGATTGTATGCAAAAGTTGTGTGTGCACGCACGTGAGAGAGAGAGAGAACAGACGCTAGAGCATTCAAAAGAGCGAGACACACTTTGGCTAGAATCAAATACTTGATGTAAAAGTCTTGACCAACTCCCTAAATGAGGTATTCAACGACTAAGATTTTTTTACAATTCAAATACTAAGAATGACAAGTAAATGAAATGTTTCAGTAGCATTGATAGAGAGAAATCTGCAAATCCAATGGAATTCTTTATTGAGGATGATGGACAATAGTCCTTCCACTGGTAAAAGTGGTTCTAGAGTGGTTTTGCTAGGTACATCAACATAAGCGACACTGCACATTGACAACTACTAGAATGGCAGGCAATATTCCCCATCAGTACATTTATATTCCACATAATAGTTTGGGTGTAAGGAACAAGAATGATGGTATGAGGTGCAAGAAAAAATGCACAATGAGAAACTTTTGACTTGTGGAATTGTTTGAGTTAGGCGCTTGAATATCCAAGACTTGGGGCAGAGAGAGAGAGAGAGAGAACAGTCCAAGCTACAATGGCTAAAAGCGAAACTAATGCATTTGCTGTCCAGTAAACCACTTGAACTGCAAATAGCTGACTCTTCAACAAGTGAGAGAGAGAGATATCAGTCTGAGTGCACCATGCATTGGGGATGCCGCACAGCCTTCCTTTTGTCATGATCAGATGGCTGCTATAGTGCACAAATAATTTGTTACATCTACAATCTAACCGACAAAACCAAGCCCCTTCATCCCATAAATTAGTGTCAATGACAAATATGCAATTTCCAATGGCTAACCTGATGGACACCAAACTGAGGGACTTGAACCCTCTTAGATCCATCAGCTGAGCGCTTGGCTGGAAGATAATCCTCAACAATGCCCAACTCATTGGAAACCTGTACAAAGAGAAAGGCCATCTATAAATGACAAGAAAGCATGACAAAAGTAATATGGTTTTGGTTGAAGGGAAATAAGGTTGGTTCCTGTATTGAATACATGAGCAAACAGTTGAAAGAAATGATATATGATGTACTTGATATAAGAGGCATTATCCAACAAATGTGAGGTTCAGCTCTTTTCAGGATTTCTCAAGAGATTAGAGTCCAAAGCATAAGAGTAAATGTAAACAGCCCTTCAAAGCAACGGGAGTTGCGACTAGAGAAGAATATCAGTTACAAAAGGAATAAATGAATAGTACTAAGCTTCTTAATGAGCACAAGAAAAAAAAATTGGCCCAAGTATGCTGAGAGTTCACAACCAGCCAACAGTCATGGTTATATGCAGATAAGTAAAGTTTGCACCTGGCTTTTGACAGCTTCAATTAGCATGCCATGACACCCAGAAGCGTGTACATTTTCCAAACTAGGGCATTGGAGCAATAGCCTCTCTGTTTAGAATAAATTTATCAGTCACTGATACAACTATGATGTAATTCAATTTCATAAATATGGCAGGCAGAGAAGGTTGTGATACATATCTATATGCATTCTACATAAATGACCCAAAATCCCCATCATGGATGAACGGCATAAATACAAAGGAACATGTTCAAACCAAACCCATGCAAAATTCGTACGGAATTAATAAACCATTATACAGTACAGTGGCCACTGACTTCAGGGAATGGCACATGGCACTACTCTTCTATACTCGCATAAAACTACCCTAACAATCATCTGTATACAAAGATACAACAAAAGATTGAGAAAGAATTTATATAAGGTAGCAACCTTATAATATAGAAGCAAGGTGCACCTCAAAATCCAGTAGAAAAGAGTGTTCTTAAGTTGGAAAACCTTCCAATCATCTAGACATAAAGAAAAAAAGAATTTTAAGTTTTAAACATAATACATATTGTAACAAGTTATCTGGACCGTCTATTTGCAATATTTTCGAGTTTTTATAGATATGTTCAATCTCCAGCATTTTTGGTAAATTTCATGACTAGGGTTGAACATGGTTTTCAAGCCATTACAAGGTTACCGACACCAGAATCACATCTTCTGGCAAAATTTAGAGGTGTGCCTTACTTATATAGTATAAGGTGGGCACCTTATACAAATCTCACCCATTTCAAAATTAATACAGGCACAAATGCATACCTGGATGCAAATTGGTGCACAAGTTAACATTAAGGTCGCTTAGCTCTGGGCAGTTCAAATACAATGCCTGGAAAAAAATAATAATATTGTTTAAACCAAAAACATATCAGGATAAATAAAAATATAAACAATAATAATTAAAGCATAGAGCAATCCCTGCAAAGACAAAAGAAACAAAAAATGCTTCCATTTTTTTCTGACAATACCCTAACATGATTTCTTGTATGTGATTTCACTAGGCTTTTATGCCTTAAGCCTGAGGTTTATGGCTTGAGGCAAGCCACGAACCCCTCAGACAAGAATTCCATAGTGAGTTGTAATTGGCATTGTTACACACCTTAACATCAATTACAAGCCTATCCAGTTGGATGCACTCCAAATTTTATAGTGCTTTTTTTTTTTCTTGCTCCAATTTGTCTTATTTCGATCTAGCTCTAAAAGTTTGAATTCAGACATAGAGGAATTTGACGACCTTGGGGTCGTAAATAAGATGTACTAAATCAAAGTGTTGAGTATTTTGCCCCAAACTCGATGCATTTCCTGTATGTCCATCTCCAAGGCTCAGGCAGTCTTAATTTCTTTTCCTAAATTTCTAATCAAATGTCTAAAATATAATTCAATTGTCAAATTTTGGTTTTTCTCTTTTTGTGATTTATCTACATTCTGATTTACACTTACTCCATTATTTGCCCTATTTGCTGCATTACATTGATCACGTCTTTCCGAATTGAACCCCAGTGAATGAATATGAAAAGAGTTCCCAAACTCTTAAACACAAATCTGGCTTTTCCGCAAAATTCAAATAGTCAGTTGATGTTTACTATGTCAACAAATGCTTCTACAAAATGGACTGAAAGAAAACAAGGATAGACTCCTATAAAGCAAAGCAATTCAAAATTTAAACAATGGTTTTGTTTGTCCTTGTTTTCCCTGAACTATATCTCATCCTAATTGTGTACAACTGTTGTTAAGTCATATATAACCTTGCTAAGGCCACCTTATTTCATTCCAATGCTTACATCTAAGCCTGAACAGCCCCAAAGACTAAGCTTCTTTAGCCTCATGTGCTTTATTATGAGCTTCTGGCATATGGGTTGCAATCTGGAGTTGGGTTCCTTCTGCCGGTCGGCTCTTTCACGGTCACCCTGGGACTTGTTCTCAGAATAGGGATCTCGCACTGCCATTCCACAGTCAATAAGCTGTAGAAGAGGTAACTGAGCAGAAGCAAATTGGATACCACCTGATAAGGAGAGTAAAAATATGCAATGTCAGCTTGGAATCCCAAACATTATTCACAAATTCACAGCATTTGTAGTTTTGCATCATACACCAAATGTCATAATTTCATAAATTTCACCAAAAAATTTTTATAGGAAACCCAAAAACAATACACAACTTGACACCTTTGTCACATACAACAGGTACCATTATTTCATAAACCTAATCAAACTATCACAAGATATCCAGAATATATATATTTTACATGACATAGAGAACCATCATTCAAAACGCTTTTCAATTTTCCTTTCAATATCTAAAAAGCATGTTTCTATTTTCCTTTTATTTTTCTATAAGATAAGTTTCAACTTAGAAGGTATTTACAGCTCTAATTTTTCAAAATGCTCATTCAGCTAATTAAGTTTTTTCAATTCCGTTTCCTCATTTAATGAGTTCAAGATAGTAGTAGTAATAGTAGTAGTAGCATTAACCAAGAGAGAGCGCATCAGCATGGATTCTTACTTGAAGTAATATTTGGACAAAGAGCAAGCAAGAGTTTGGTCAGAGTTCTAGGGAAAGCATTGCATATCATTCCAATGCCACTATCGCTGATGCTTGATCTGCATAACAAACTTAAGTCCATGAGAATTCTGAGAGAGACCCTAGTCAAAAATCAAAAGCAACCAAGGATTCTTTCCTCTTTCATCCACATTAAAGACTAAATCAATTTGATGGGATGAAAGAAACAATAGAAGAAAACAAGAAAGAAATATAATAAGATGTAGAAACAAGAGATCTACAAGATTTCAAAGCATACCCACTAAGATCTAACAGTTCCAAACTGGAATAGCTTGAGGTGATAGCAGCCACAGATGCATCTGTGACTTCCAAACCAAGAACTAAGGCAAGCATGCGCAGATATCTGCTCAAAGGATGATGGCCATTATTTTAAAGAAACAAAAAGACGAAAGAACATCACAAACAACAAAGCATCCAAGATATGATCATGCCTATGTAATACTGAAATTCAAAATCATTTAAAGAATGCAACAGAATAAGAATAGGACATGACCACCAACAACGATTCAGGCAATCACAAGCATGGAGCACAGTGTTGAAAGAGGAATAAATGGATACAAATTTGAAATCATTCAATAAACAATTGAATTGCAACGGTAGTTCCAAAAGATTAATTAGAGCCACGAACTAAAATGGTAAATTCTATGTAATTCCAGGGACCCACTTCTCAAGATAGAAGCCCAGTCACAGGAACACACACGAGAGTGCAGGCACACATACACAAACAACACTATATCCAAGAAAAGAAAACACCACAAATCTAGGATCAATTTTCAAAAACAGATGAAACATTTAAGAACATGTAGGAAAAGCAAAATCTCCATGTGATATCTACAAATGTCTAATTTCATCTCATAATTTAACAAGAGTTGTAAGAAATACCAAAACCACAAAGGCAATTGCAAATTGCAGGAATGTAAGCATGTTTCAAAGAAAAAAATCGACGAAAGAATTAAGAAATGGAAAATATTATTTGGACTCAACAAACTAACCTCAAATTTGCACCAGAAAGAGCAAGCACGAAGGAATTAGACAGTCTAACTGAAGCAATGTGAATGTTTCTCAACCTTGGGCAGCTCCTTCCAATACCCTCCATCATGTTACACAGATCCGTATTGTCTTGCCCATCTCGGGCAAAATCCAGGGAGAGTTCCTTCAAATTAGGGCAGCACAAAGCCTGTAGAAAGAATAAAAAGATAAGAAGAATGCAGAATATCCAGCCAAGAGAAACAAAAGAAGTAAAACAAGCAGAAAAACGCAAACCAGTTTATGGATGAAAATTTACTGTTTTTGATAATGAATAAAGATCTGATAGCCAGAGAGTTGCTAGGCTAGAGGATGCAAGACTGAGAAACCCAAGGTTAGTGCTCCCTTCGATTTTTAGGGTGGTAAGGCACCGGCTCTCTGCCACAAAACGACCCAACTCGTCCCTACACCAATCAAAAAGTGAACATTGGATAAATTAAGAGTGCCAGTAAAAAGAGAAATCAAGTGGAGTTTTTCAACTATTAATGGCAGCGATTATAATCACTGGCAAACAAAAACCATAGACGTCTAGTATAAGCAAATTAGCCTTTAAATTGGAGGCAGTCAACAGCCCAAGAGAAGAAATGGGTAAAAGTAAAGCAACACATCCATTGAATTTAAAGAGAAGAACTAAGTTTACCAACAACAAAAATCAATTCGTAACATCTAAACAAAAAAGTAAACATACATGGATAAATCATCATTGTCATTATTCGAGCTTTATCCCAACTATTCGAGATCAGCTACACGAATATTGTTTGGCCGTTCCACCCTATCAAGGGCCATATACTCAATCAGACCATAGGTAACTCTACTTCTTCTCATTATTTCCATCTATTTCATTTTGGGCCTTCTCTTGCTCTTTTAGAGCCTCCCACCTGAATCAAATCACTCCTCCTAGCCAATGTTGTTGTAAGTAGATGTAGGACATGATCAGACCACCTAAGTCTACTTTCTCTTATCTTATCACCTATTGGAGCCACATCTAAGTTCCCTCATATGTTTTTATTCTGAATTCTATCCTTTCTTGTCTTGCCACTCAGCCATCTCAACTACACTCATTCTACACGTATGTTATTTTCTAGCTACCCAACATTCCATCCCATAAAGAATGAGTGGTCTTACAGTCATCCTATAGAACATCCCCTTCAATTTCATTAGTATGTAACAATCACATAAAATCCAAAAGCATATATCCACTTCGTCCACCCAGCTCTAATTCTATATAATATCTTCCTCAATCTCTCTACCCTCATAAATTATCAACCCAAGACAAAGAAAATAATCTTTTATAGGTACTTGGCCATCAATCTTAACGAATTCCTCATTTCTATTTCTATTGTTCCTAAAGAAAAGTGTACAAAGAAATCATTACTTTTAATACAAGGAGATCATAATCATTCTTGTTTGTAAGATTTCAAATTGGGTAGTTGTGAGTATATGCCAGTGACTAGACTCAAAGTTAATATAAAATAAAAAATAAAAAAAATAAAAAACCACCAAACTTTGTGCATACCCTAGCCATCCAATTTGACATCAAATAGCTAGGAGCAATTGTAATCTCCTTGTAACAAAGATAAATACTCTTATAATATACAATCCCTATTACTAAACTTGCATTCCAAATAGGGTGCGATTTGTATAGAGCCTAGGCTCTAAACAATCAAATTAGAACCTACCTTCGAGAAATGTGGTTTCAATACTGGAAATCTTTGTGACAGCCTTAAAATATATTTTCATATCTATTTATAAAGTTTCAAGCTTAGAAAATAGTGTAGATCAAAAGATCTATGAAAACTTGAAAACCTTGAAAATTGACAATCCAAAAATGCATTACAAAACTATTTCCAAAACTTGAAATCCAATTTTTTTTTCATGTCCATGCATCTTGATGTCGAGATGATGAACTTGAAGATATTTGGGCATCAAAACAACCACTTCCAGTGAAAGCTTTGAGGTAGGCTCAAATTTGATTGCTTCGAGCCTTGGCTCTATATAAACTTTTCCCTTCCATATATTATGTCTTAGTCCTGCTATCCTTAAAACCTTTTGATTCTAGACCACCCCTCCAAAAGTCTAACTGGCGTTAATGTCATCTCTAGTCGTATCAATCAAAACTAGGTCAGACGTAAATAATATATACCACGGTACTTCATCATATAGATGCCTAGTTAAACTCGTCTATAACCAACACAAAGCAATATGAGCTCAACGCTAACCCTAATGTAGGCCTATTGTCAATGAAAACTCATTTGTCGCTTCACTAGTTATCCTCATGCTAGTTATCAGATATTGTGCACAAAACCAATAAATAAGAAACAAAACAACCATCAAAGCAAAGACCAACCTCGCATATTTGAATGGGTCGAGCAATTACAATGTTAACAAAGATTGAAAATAAATAAATAAAAATAAAGAACTTGGAAAGAGCAGAATAAATGGATAAACTAATGGTAACACTTTAAAACAAACGAGCATCCACAGAAATTGCAATGGGTGATCCGCCAAAAAAATTAAGCTTGGCTAGACCAGAAAAGCAGAATACCAAGTGGTTGAGATAAAACCATATCATTCCATTAGAAAGCAATCAAAAAGCATCAAGGGAAAAGGACTACCCCGTGATTTGATTTACAGCAGTATCATCAGTCTGGATATCCAAGGATTCAAGATTGGGGCAGGCAAATGCGACATAAGCCAACACAGTGGCATCAATATCACTGTAGCACCACAAAAATAACTAGATAAATAACATGAATAGAAAGAGAAAAAGGAAAATAGAACCAAAAGATTTCCAGAATGCCTTAAACATGTTTCTCTCTCAATTATGTCACATGCAGAAATATTAGTGCATAAGCAAGAAAAGAAAAGAAAAAGAACAAGGACCCAGAAGTGCCACTGAAACCTCTCATCTCATTTCTTTGATTTCTCAATCAAATTTATTTCATGAAAAAAAAAGCTAACATGATTAATAAAAAACCCAAAAAAAGTAACATACAACTTCCAAATAGACTCAGTGTAATATACACTTAATGCCTAGCCCCGGCATACTCGATAATTAACCAGACGTCAAAACACAGAAACTATCACTAGAAAATGCATACAAATTGTTTCTTAGAAATATAAATAACAAAAAAGTTGAATTCAAGAAGCATATATAGTAGAGCTCCTTTATAGTGAAAAAGGACTAGTTAGTTTGTCCCTCCAAGACTTTTCTTTATTTCTGAAGCACTAAAAATCTGCAAGGTTTTTTTTCCGCCCATCTTTTTCGTTTCCTTTTGCATCTTTACGTGTTTTATTTGGATATTGCATAAATAGGTAGGAATTTCCTGCGTCTGGTAAATCTTCAATTTACCCATGAAAATCCAATCTTTTGGGTAATCCTATAATCGCCCATCATTATTATCCCTAACAAAATAAGAAAAAGAAGACCAAGAGGACAAATCTGTAGATAAAGTTGGGCATCTTCTCTCTCTCTAACAAATCTGTAAATAAAGTTATTTCTAAGTTAAATTAGGCATCTCTCTCTCTCTCTCTCTCTCTCTCTCTCTCTCTCTCTCTCTCTCACCACACACACACACACACACATTAGTCCAGAAGAGTGCAGACGATGTATATGCAGAGCTCAACCAAAGTATAATACCCGAGTCCTCAACCTAGGGCTTGGAATAAAACTCGAATGGAAGAGAGAGAGAGCGCATCAGTTTCAAAACCCCATTTTGCCCAATCCTTTTTTAAAGCTTATAATTATGGTGTAATTTATATTTTGCAGGGTTATCAGCGTGCCATAAAGACGGAAGAAAGGTCACGAGCTGCATGCCTTCTCTCGTTTCTCCTGCTAAGAAAATTTGCACTTTTCTCTATGGATTAGAGACTTGAGGGTGGAAAAATCGAGAGCAAAACTCAGTGAAGAGCCTGAATCACATGTTTTAGCTCTGCAACTTCCCTGTTTACCTGATACCAGAAGAAAATGCACCTTTACACCAAATTGCTTTAGAGAGAGAGGGAGATCGATCAAATTAGAGAGAGAGAGAGAGTGAGTGAGAGTGAGAGTGAGAGTGAGAGAGGGAGATCGATCAAATTAGAGAGAAAAAGGTTCATATATTTATCCTTTATTTCATGCTTGCCCAATTACAATACAGTGAAACATCAAATCGACAAAATGTCAAGATATTTTAAAAAAAAACCTAACTTGCATCAAAGGACCCCCCAAGATATCTGAATCGCCTCAGTCCTCACTTTATTAAATTAAGATAAGAAAATGAATAAACAAAAATGCATGAAAAAAAAACCTACAATCTGATTTAGTCACGTTACCCCCAAATATAAAACAAGAAAAAGGTCAAAAAAAACAAATGTTAAAAATAACGCATCAAAAGATCTCCGATAAGCTGGATTCCTTTTCCATATCCCCATCCCCCAACCCTAAAAATGACCATAAGAAAAAAAAAATGTATCAAAATCAACAGAGATAGCACCTGAAAGTAAAATGTAAGATCCAAATCAATGGAGAAAAATTAGAAAGAAAATCATCAGTAACCCAAAAAAAAAAAAAAAAAATCAAATGGAAGATAGATAAAGAACGCACTGGTGAAACTGGAGCACAGGAATCCAGTTTAATTGACAGAGCACAATTGTTAAATCGAGAAAGAGAGAGAGAGAGAGAAAGAGAGCCCAAAATTGAAGAGATCCAAATCAATAGATAAACACGAAATAAAATGAAGACTTCAATCCTTGATATCCAAATCCAGAGAAGAATTGCAGAGAGAGAGAGGGGGGAAGAGAGAGAAAACAATGGACCACCTCACGATGCGGAGAGAGAGGCGTAGGAGACGGGGGCACTTCTGCAAGGCGGATCTGAGAAGGCCCCCAGGCCTGTGGCCGAGGGACAGCCTCACCTCCTCAGTCGCCGCCCACACCCTCTTCGCACACTCCCTCCACCCGACGCAAACCTGTGCCGCAACCAGCAGGGCACCTGGAGGCAGTCTCCTCATGACCTCCACCAAACAAACCTCCATGAACTCACTTTCTCTCTCTTCACACTCTCTCTCGTCCCCACCACCGGGCATTACCCTTTGGCCTTCACTGTCGAAGTCTAGGGCTCGCCTCCTCCTTTGTGGTTTCGGGCACGGAGGCGGGTGTTTAGAGAGATAGGGGGGCTCTTGTTTTAGTAAGAGAGGGGGAGTAATGGTGTCCTTGGAGAGAGAAGGAAGGGGAGGTGGAGGAGGAGGGGGGAAGGGTGAGGAGCAATTGTGGCCGCGTTTGGGTTGCCCACATCGACCACAGTTGTAGTTTCCTCTCTTTTTACCTTGTTTTATGGTGGCAGCAGCGGTGGTGGCCGCAGGGGAGGGGATGGCAGGGTGGGGTTGAGGGTGTTGCATGGTTTACAGAGAAAGAGAGGAAATGGGTCTCTCTTAGAGCGTGGAAATAGAGCGATCGGGAGATGACAGAGAGAGAGAGGATGGCTATAGGTGAGCGTCTGGTTTTAGAAAGAGAAAGTGATAGGATATTATAGAGAGGGGAGAGAGAATGGGGAAGCCTCTGAACCTGGACGAGAGAGAGATGAAGTGAAGGAGCGGACAGTAGAGAGATAAGGAGCGGACAGTAGAGAGAGAAGGAGCGGACAGTAGAGAGAGAAGGAGCGGACAGTAGAGAGAGAGAGTGATCGGAGAGGGAAAGAGACTGTTACCGCAGGTCTAGGTTTCAAGTCTAGAGAGAGAGAGAAGTACAAAAATGAGGAAAGGAGAATGCAGAGATAGGATAGGAAAGGGAATGCAGAGGTAGAGAGAGAAAGTGAGCGGGAAGGAGAAGAGAGAGAGGGAGGAGCGTGAGGAGGAGGAGGAGGGGTCAAATATAGGCGGGGTGTAGAGCGCGCGGAATTTCACATTTGGCGCCTTTCTACTTAAAATAAATAAATAAATGACTAAAATACCCCTAACATTTTTCATAAATATCATCAGTGGCTTGGCCCTAATGGTACTTTTTGTTGTAAAGGAAGGGCTTCGAAATGACTCAAATGCCTCTTGATTCTTTGTTTTACTCGTTTGTCCCAATTTGAAGAGATTTTACCGCAATACCTTTTGATTCTTGGGAGGGCATGCTTTTTGTTTTGGGTGCAGTATGCACACCGTAGGGTGTAGAGATAAGGTGCACCTTCAAATTTTATCGTGCTGTATAATTTTGGTATAAAATGTTCTTAGGATTATCTCAAAAGTAATGATCTTATGAAACCTTCCCACATCCATTTATATATAGGACTTCAAATAATCACTGTTTAATTTGGTATTATTTTTATCTCAAAATCTATTTTTATATCTAATTATAAAACTTTTAATTTCAAAAATAGTTAAAATCAACTAGATCTATAAACACATGAAAATGGACGATATAAGTAATATGTTGTAAAATACACTTTTTTTTAGATTTAAAATCTTTTTATTTTTTATAATCATATATCTCGATGTCAAGATAATCAATCAAAGCGTTTTTCAACATTAAAACTACATTTTCCAATAGATTTTTGAGAGGCATTTGTAGTTCTACATTATAATGTAGCATCTTTATATAAATTTTTCCCTTTTGTTTTTAGGGAAATTGGATTATATCTCTTAGAAATTGTGGTACTTAAATAAAAGGAAGAATATACAAGAGGCCATTCATTTTTAGCCCAATTATTCTTGTCATTTAGATTTTGAATCGGGTAGTTCTGACTGTTTTGTTGGCTAAATTTAAAAAGTTCAAAACAATTTTTTTTTAACTTCATGACCTACCCTAAGCTACTTAATTTTAAAAAGATAAATAGCCTTGTAGTATACAATACCATTTTAAAAAGGGAAAAGTTTATATAGAGCCGAGGCTCTAAATAATTAAATTTGAGCGTACCTCGAAAATTTCACTAGAAGTGGTTGTTTTGATGCCCAAATATCTTCAAATTGATCATCGTGACATCAAGGACCATGGACATGAGAAAAAAAATGGATTTCAAGTATTGGAAATGGTGTATTTTGTAACATATTTTTTTACTGTCGATTTACAAGATTTTTAAGTTTTCATAGATCTGTCGATCTACACTATTATTAAAAATTTAAACTTTATAAATAAATATAAAAATATATTTTAAGGCTTTCACAAAGATTTCCAATATTGAAACCGTATTTATAGTCACTATTTGAAGGTAGGCTCTAATTTGATTGTTCACATCCTAAGCTCTATACAAACTGCACCATTTTAAAAATAGGTACGGTTTGTATAGAGCCTAGGCTCTAAACAATCCAATTAGACCCTACCTTCAAATAATATCGATGAATGTGGTTTCAATACTTAAAATCTTTTTGATAGCCTTAAAATATATTTTCATATTTATTTATAAAGTTTAAAGCTTGAAAAATACTGTAGATCAAGAGATCTATGAAATTAAAATTGCAGTTCAAAAAATGCGTTACAAAATACATTATTTCCAGATCTTATAATCCATTTTTTTCTCATGTCCATGCATCTTGATGTCGAGATGATCAATTTGAGGATATTTGGGCATCAAAACAACCTCTTTTAGTGAAAGTTTTGAATTAGGCTCGAATTTGATTGTTTAGAACCTCGGCCCTATATAAACTTTTCCATTTAAAAATAGGTGTAGTTTGTAAGAGATGTCAACTTTAAACAATCCAAATAAGCCGCAGCCAGAAAAAAGAGTCCGGGATTAATTGATTAACGGTTGATAGTTTGTAACGTTGTATCCTTGGCTCAATTCCTACCAAGGGTAGGGGCCCTCTCCCCATGGACTTGCCCAAAAATAAAACATAAGGCGCATCACTCCATAAAATGGAATTTTGGTGCCGAAATTTTCAATGATGACTTGAAAAATTGCTTCACATCTATTTAATAAATTTAAAACTAAAAAATGGTATGGAACACACATATCTATAAATACTTAAAAAAAATTCAAATTCAATGATCTAGGTAATGTATAATAAGATGTACCGTGAGTTACTTTAAAATATTTCTTTTTTTTTTCTACGTTCGTACATTTCAAGGTTGAGATGATTGATTAGAGGGTGTTTCATATCAAAACAATATTTATTTATGGTTTTCTGGGTATGCCTTTTTTTCTACAAAAGAATGTTCCAATTGAAAAAAAAGGCCTATGTGATCTTTTACCGGAGAATACATTTTTTTTTTTTCTTCACCCGTTTCTTTTGGCAAAAGATCAGTATGGTCTCTGTTATAATAAGATAAATTTCAAAATAAAATCAACATAACAATAAAACCAAAATGTTAACAACTTGATGCCATTGAAGCAATTATGCACTATGCTTGAGAATAAATGATAAGATTGTAATAAACAAAGGAAGAGTGTCGGGGATTACCTCAACCCGGCTTATTACACCCCACACCAAGTCAACGCCATCCGATTGCGCGGGATCAACGGTCTAGCTTCAATCTCGAATCGGAAAAAACAAGTTTCGGCCAAGCCACACAAATGGAACATAAACCCATTTGATCACAAACTCAAACCCTAATTGAACTATCTTAGCAACCTAGTTTGAAAGAGATGGATTATCTTTTTGCTAAATCCTAAAACCCTTAACCATAAATCCATATTTGAGAGATAGAAGATAGAATAATTCCATAACCTAAACCCTTAGATTATTTCAGAATGTGGGAGAGAGAAATCAAACATGAAAGAGATAAACTTTATTAAGAGAGAGAAATAAAAAGATAACATGTAAAGATTTTTTGGTAGAGACAATCCCTTTTTATAGGCTTTGAATACAATTAGGGTTTCTTAGAATTTTATTTGACTTACTTCTTATCGTGAGATTGAACATAGATTGTCGATCAATGATGATTTATGGGGTGAGAGATCTAAGCCATCCATTTCATAGACGGGCCATTTTTTCATCAATAGAAATTAAATAAACTAAATATAATAAAAATATTGTGCATACCATAAAATAACACAAATCTACTCAATCTTTCCATAAAATCATTTAAAGATATATCAAGTCAATATTTAGTCAATATCTTCCAACCATATGGCCATATGCCATATCACAAAAAAAAAAAAAAGAGAATAAGGATGGGGAGTGCCACCCAAGGGAGGCACTCATTGGCCCCACCTTTTAAAATTATGGCGGGCCTAGCCCCCATGATATTTTTATATATTTAAAATTAATAAAATGAGTTTAGAATATTATTTGAATATTTAAACAATTATAAAATCAATATATTTAATTTTATAAATCTAAAAATTATAAATAAAATATCCAGGGGTTCATAAAAATTCAAATAATAATCTCAAAATAATTTTCATCATAAAACAAATACAATTAAATTATTTTGATGGGAAAATGATCCATATAGTTTAGGAATCAACAATCATAGGGCACTCAACTTTCAACTGTGGACTACAGACCACACTTGCTTTATCAGACCGACCCAGTGTTTCCCATGACCCGCAGTCCTATCCGGGACTCATTAGCGGGTCACAAAAGTCGGACCGATGAGTTAAGGGATCGCAATCCCAGTTTGTGGATTTTAGGTCCTCTCTTAAAGACAAGTCAATGTCACCAATACCTTATGCAACCACAGCTCAATGGCGCATAGGGGTATCTCTCGCACATGTATTACTTCACCCTAAAAGGTAGATTTCTAGTTTTTCCGAAAGATTTATCGATATGCATGCCGTGTGATGGTACATGGATGAGGGTTTGCCCCTGTCTCTGTAGGCCACCATCACACACAAAGGTCACACAGTCCCTCGGCTCACTCATTCAAGCATGTTCTCCGACCTTATCAAGAGCTAACCCATAAACCCTAACCGGTTTATTCTTCATTCCCAGGTCACATGGGTTTTTTCCAACTGACTGGTCTAGATCGTTAAGCAGAGATCGGTATCAGCAAATCATCGTTTGCTTAGTATAGTCCACGAGGGATCACACTCCCACTGAGTTCATGTTCCACTATATAATTTCATTTTACAAGCATTCATAAGGCCTTTAAATGCCACATAGACCCAACACCAACCTTATGTAAAAAAATTGAATTTAAAAGTAGGATCATATATTTATTTAGATTTTTTATTTTTTCCAAAATAATCTCACTAAGGGAAGCAATGGGCTAGGTGACCCGCCCCACCCCGGTCTAAAAAACTCTGGCTTGGGTACACATTATGTGGCCTGAGGGCCAGGCCATCACAAAGCAAGGGTAGGGTTGGGGGCGGCTTGAACCAAGGTCAGCCCGACCGTTTTGTTTTTATTCTTTTATTTTATGCTAATGCTTGGCCCATTGACAACCCTAACACTCATGAGGAAGTTCAAGATTGGGGCAAATTTTTTTGTTTTTTGAAAGCGATATACAAAATTAAATCATCAAGAATAAAAGAAATATGACGAGTGGAAGTTTAAATAATAACATTGTATACAATGAGACCATTTACCTTTTAATACAAGGTGATCACAATTACTTATAACCATCTAATGTGAAATTTGATAGATTGGTGTGTCACAAAGTTAAAAAAAAATTATTTTGAAGTTTGAGCTTGGTCAATGGAATAAATGCATCCACCAAATTTCACATCCAATAGTCAAGATTAATTGTGACAACCTT